AAATACTAATTTCCTTACAAAAGGAAAATAATATCTTTGCAGTGGAGACAGCTGGCAGGACCTTAACCAAGTAATCAAACCTATATCATCGGTCACAGGACAACGTGACCCCGACACCGTGTGCCTCCCAATAGGAGGTGCCAAGCAGGACACACCATCGCCTCAGGGGGATTCCTGCGGAAGCGGAAGCACGTGAACCGGATGTTAAGGAAATGGACAACCCAGACGGACAACCCACAGAAACCTGGTCTCTGTGGTAATCAAACACGCATGGCATAAAAGGTAAAGGAAGACGCAGGTGCTCTTCCAAAGTGAGAGACTAAAAGACACTAAACAGCTGAATGCACTCCCGGGTCTTGAACTGGATCCTCTCCAAGACCAAATGGGAAGCACGGCAAGAGTGGCGCACGGACTGCAGACGAGACAGTCGTATGAAACAACGATCGACTTCCTAAATGTGATCACTCGCCTCCAGAACTGCAGTTACGTAAGAGAAAATCCACGCTAAGGTGGATTTTTAGGGGCAAGGGGAGATAAGGTGGGCACCTTACTCCCCAACGAGCCAGGAACATACGTAAATACACGGGGAGGATGGGAAAGCAGATGTGGGAAAGCGTTAACAACTGGGGAATCCAGACAAACGGGCATTTGGGACGCCTTAGCACTATATTTTCAACTCTTTTATTTTAAAACTGTTTCCAAATAAAAGTTTTCAATGCCTAGAATAAGAAATAAAGGTCTTAACAACAGGAGGGGGAGAGAAGAGAGATAAGCAAATAACCACAAAGCGCCAACAGGAATACTAGGTGCGACGGAAACATAGGGGAGCCTGGAGCTAAGAATTACGTGCGGAGATTGGAAAGGGTCTGTGTCGCTGACCGAGTCCCTTTCCCACCTGTGATGGGTTCGGTGTCCAGCCAAGCCCTCTTCGAAGAGGACTCGCCCTGGCTCCATGATGAGCTGAAGTCATTCTGAGCCCCGAAAACCTCTCTGCATTCTCCTACCGAACACACTCTTGGAACCATTCCCTCTACGTGTTTATCTCCCTCCCCGGACTGCAGACTGCTTGACAAATGACGAAGACTGAAGATGGTGTTGGTGGTGGTGGCGGCGGTGGTGGTGGTGATGATGATGATGATGATGGCGGGAGCAGCTGTTTACCCCATGCTTAGTACCTACCAGGCATGACACTATACATCTCATCACACAAAGACTCCAAGCAGGCTTCCTTTTTTTCAACAACCATTTTATAGTCATGGAAACTGAGGCTGAGCAGGGTTCATGAATCCAAGATCACAACACAAAGAAGCGGCTCAAACCTGTGTGACTGAGAACTGTCCTCAGCCTCTCCTTGTTACCAAACAGTCTGAACCTCGTCCCAGCATTTTCAGTCAGCAGCAGGCACGCGCTGGTTAGGCAAACAGGAGGTGAAAGGGACCTCTCTCAGTACTCGGCTCTGTTTACAGTATGCTGAGCACATCCAAACTCAAGGCCAGGAGCAGAGGAGGCACGAGGTGGGAGGAGAAAGCCGGCCCTATAAAAACGGCCAGCAGATACTCTACTGCACTGGTAGATAACCGAGAACTGATGTAGGAAAGTCAGATATAAAAGATACGACATGAGGATGAGAAACATAAATGTGTAGTGATCTCATATTAGATGTGACAAATATGCCCTGTATGTTAAAAACTCAGAATGAAAGTAAACACCTATAAAATCTTTGTCTTTCCACCTTAGTCACCTATGAGGCAGGCATTACTGCCAGTGTAGACACGGAAGTAACTGGCCCAGAACACACAGTTCAATTTAACAGGTCAGGTACTTAACAAATATTAGTTGAATAAACGAACAAAATGAAAGAAACCTCAGGATACGTTTCTGAAGTCCTGTGGCCTCTTTCCAGTATTCCGCTCTGCTAAAATTACTAAATTTGTAATCGTGTCTTTGTCCAAAATTCCTCCCAGGTTTTGTACCTGGACCTGGTCAGCCCCTTACCCAGGAAGAAGCAGATGTTTCCACACCAGCTGACAAAGCTTTGGTTACTACGGTTTGCTTCCTCACACAAATGGAAGATTTTGACTCATTGGCTCCAATGCAAATAACAGGACTATAATTTCCCCCACAGAACAAACAAATTTATGGCCAACAGCCATAAATCAGACTATCCTAACACTTACCTTGAATAAAGTTTTCAATTCAACGCTTTGGAGATAATTTTTCTGTAGGGCATAGTGAGCCCTCTCCCGTGACCTTGCACGAGCTCTGAATCCCTGTAACCTGTGTCTGTTCACCTGCACAGCGAGCACAGAGCAACCTGCCAGAGGTCGCCAGGGTTAACCAGGTAACGTGTGAAAAAGGACCCGGCAGCAGCCCCTGGCACGGCTGAAGCACTCGGGAGGTGCCCACGGAACGGCAGTCATGGTTCTCGGCGAATACTGAGGACAGCCACAGAGTGCGCCTCTTAAAATAAGAACTGTGAAAGGCTGATGCCGATACAGGGGTATCGAAAGCAACGCCGGCCTGCGGACCATCAAGCCCGGTTCCGAGTAGCTACCGGCGGGACCAGGGGTAACCAGCTGTTCGCAGCGCCATCTAGTGGAGCCGGAGCAGAGCACAAGTGCCGACCGAGGGACAGGGACGCCCGTGCAAACTGCCCCTGCTCCCCTCCGTTGGGATGTCCAGGAGAGCTGGAAACAACAGCGACCCCCGCCCCTGTAACACGTGCATCAGAAAGGGCGCTCTCACTTCCGCATGCTCTTTATCATACCACGAAGAACATCAGTGATGCGCCACGAACACTACTTCTAAAGTCCTTAAAATAGCCGCAGGGGCTGATGGGCAAAAAAAATATGGAAATGTCCAGCTGCCCAATCCAGGGTAAAAGATCTTGTGCTGGTGGAGAGGAGCTGCTGAGGGTCCAGCTACGTTTTAATGTGGGCAGTCACAAAGCCGTTTAGGGAGGCTTCATTTGCTCATTGACGCTTCTGGTGCCACAGAACCTTGAACAGCACCATAAAAATCAGAGTGCTAACTTTGCACAGGGTTATCACTAAATAAGCTTCCTAAGAATGAGTCTATTTTTTCTAGATTTTATTTTATTTTTTTTTTTTAATTTTTTTTTCAACGTTTTTTATTTATTTTTGGGACAGAGAGAGACAGAGCATGAACGGGGGAGGGGCAGAGAGAGAGGGAGACACAGAATCGGAAACAGGCTGCAGGCTCCGAGCCATCAGCCCAGAGCCTGACGCGGGGCTCGAACTCACGGACCGTGAGATCGTGACCTGGCTGAAGTCGGACGCTTAACCGACTGCGCCACCCAGGCGCCCCTATTTTTTCTAGATTTTAAAACTACACTCATTCTAATAACAAAAAAATCACCCCGAGAATTGAAACTAGACGGTTATTACACGTTTTACATCTGAAAAGTGACCCAGCATGCACACGTAGTCTCAGGCTATTGCATAAAACTAGCAGGCAACATTTATTAAGCACCTGCTATGTGTTAGACACTGTACTTAATCTCATGTCTAGAACAGCCCTACAAAGGAGGTATAGGTGCTCCCATTTTACAGACAGGAAACTGAGGCTCCTTCTATAGCAGCTCCTCCCTTGTTAAGTAACACCCTTTCCCCTATAAATGCCATCCACCACACCTGCCATGCCGCCACGGGTCACAAAGTTTCTGCCCCGTTTTGTCAGGCCACTGTGTGTCCCTCTGGACAGCATGCACTCTGCCGTCCTCACAGACCACTGGCCCAATACCGAGCACTTAATTTTCAGAGCTGCATGACAGAGAATTTCCATGGAAGTCAAAGATGAAAATGCACCTCTACCTGGTGCTCCCAGGTAAAGTGTCTAGTGTCCTGGAGGTAGGCAGGTAAGGATTTAAATCTCGGTTTACCACTTAGCTGTCTGACCTTAGGCAAATTATTTGTCCTGCAATGCCCTCACTTCTCTCACCTGTAAAATAAAGTAAACCGATTTACTCTTTTAACACCGTTAGAAAAATTAAATGAAAAAATGGACATAAAGCTTCTAACCCAGAAAAAACCTCTTGATAAATGGTAACTATTACTATTAGCAATCACAAGGTGAGGTTATTCAAACATCCTCCCCACCCCCATCCCACCTCCATCCCACCTCCATCCCAGAGCCAAAACCATTGTCGGTGGAATATGTTCTTTTACGTTCTTGGCACTCTTTTTCCCTCGCTTTTTGAGCCTGTTTTTAGAAAATGGAGAATTTCTACACATACCACAAACTGACTAAAAACTTCTGCTATCATACTTTCAACCAATTGTACCTACGATACAGAATTAAAATACAAAGAGCTCCGTGCCTCTGAGAGGTTCCTTAAAGACCCACAGAGCTTTCTCAAGAATCTGATTTAGGGGCACCTGGCTGGCCCAGTTGGTTAAGCATCTGACTCTTGATTTCCGTTCAGGTCATGATCTCATGGTTCGTGAGTTCGAGCCCCACACTGGGCTCTGCACTGACAGTGCGAGCCTGCTTGGGATTCTCTCGCTCTCAAAATAAATAAATAAACTTAAAAAAATAACAACGAAATTTGACTTAGTCACTTTCTACAGTGAAAGTTTTCCTATTTTCTCTTTGACCACTGGGACACACAACTAAAAATCCTTGCCTTCAATGCCCACTAAAGGCTGAAAAGTGCTGCTGGAGAACACAGGAAGAAAGTGAACAGCCTTTGCGGTAGAGCATACTTTAGGGGACCATTTCTTAAAATCTACCGTCGCCAAAGGAAAATCCCTAACTGGCTTCTACTACAATAAAACTTTTATTTAAAAACAATGTCGACTTCTGTCCTTTTATCTCTTTTCATAAAGTAGCCTATCAAAACCCCACAGACTAGATTTAAAATTGCAGCCCGACTATTCAAAATTGTGCACCTTCACTGGGCAAGCTACTTCACATTTCTGAGACTCAGACGCGCCATCTGAAAAAAACAAAAGAGGCAGGCAGGGCATAAAACCACCTACCTTGTGAGATCTTTGTGGGGACTGGAGATAATGCACAGGAAGCACCTGGCACGGAGGCCCTCAGTTTGGCAGCCTGCATCATAATCATCATCCCCAATGCTAAGGAACACTTCTATTTTTTGGTAAAAAATGTAAACCACTTTATCCTCATTCGGTGGGAAGATGACGACCAGCTAAAGGGTCCTGTGATGCCAGAGCGGCTGCCGACGCCCGATCCATCCGAAGTCCCAGCCGCTCTCTGCACGTGGGTGTCTGCCCGCCCGCTGCTAATGTGGACCACCTCCTTCAGGTAAGAGGGCGGGAGTCTGCCATGGTCCCAGGGCTTCAAGTTTCCGCTTTTTAACCCGTCAGAAGAAATTTCACGCAGGAATTTAGGCAAAGAGAGCTCACTGTATTGGAGCACACTGGCTTAATCAATTGCTTAAGAAGAAGAAAAGTAAATAAACATCTGATTCAAAGCGGATCTGCTGGGGCGCCTGGGTGGCGCAGTCGGTTAAGCGTCCGACTTCAACCAGGTCACGATCTCGCGGTCCGTGAGTTCGAGCCCCGCGTCAGGCTCTGGGCTGATGGCTCGGAGCCTGGAACCTGTTTCCGATTCTGTGTCTCCCTCTCTCTCTGCCCCTCGCCCGTTCATTCTCTGTCCCAAAAATAAATAACCGTTGAAAAAAAAAATTTTTTTTTTAAATAAAAAAAAACAAAGCGGATCTGCTAACATCTCATTATCTCCCAGAGAAGGACCCCCTACGGTTCTACCCCACCCACGAAAGGGCACTGGGGCCTTGTGCTGGCTCCCGGCTGCATCTCACTTAGCGCCTCTTTGGTTTGTGTCCCTGGGGCCGGTCCAGACTTCATCCCTGCCCCTTTCAGCTGTCCTTTAAGGGACCCACTGCTCAACACTTTCTGAGTCTCCCACCTCCAGGAATATTAAAACACAACGCTGAAACAACGCGGGGTGGGAGGCTGCAGGAGCCAGGTGCCGAGAGTTACAGGAGGTGCGCAGGACGGAGAGATGGAAGAGTGTCCCACAAAGACGGAGGTCGCAATGATGTGCTGTGCCGACGAGGACACCATCGGAGACGTAAGCACCGTAAGCACCGGCTGCTCTGGGACAAAATGGGCAATCTGGATCCATGGGGCGGACGGGGGGCGGGAGGGGGGGGGAAGAAGGGATGTGGTCACAGGAGATACCCTAGAGCAGAAATTCCCAGGGTGAGGTACAAGAACAGATGCTATAGAATCTTTCAGTTCCGACACCATTACTAACGGCCGTCCCAGCCTGCCCCTGTACCTCTGCGGGCCAGTGAGGTCCCGGAAAGAACAACACTGCTTGCACCTTCGCGCGGGCATTTGGCAAGCATGTCACCCGGAGTAAGTCATTTCAGTCGCTGGGAGTCTCAGTTTCTACAACTGAAACGTTGGGCTGCTAACGTCTACACTTCTGGGTTGTTACCAGTATTCAGATGGCAGACAAGACGGGGCACAGAGAAGAGCCTCGAAAATGTCCCTAGGCTGACTGAGTTAAACCACCTAGTCACTCAGTACTTCTGAAGGAGAGTTGAAGACATTCCCCAGTTAAAAAGGAGGGCATCTATGCACTTGAAACTCACTCTCAAATTAAGACATATGAGAGCGCTCCTTTCTCAGCAGCAGAGTCTGTTTTCTCCCCTCGCTACCTCCAGGACCCAGCACAAGGACCTGGCAGGTTCTCAGGAAACATGTCACTAATGACCAGATACCAAAACACTGTAACTCACAATTGCTGGATCGCTCCGAATCATAACACACTACAGGAAATTCAGAAATGGTTTGCCTAAAAAAACAAACGAGAACCCTGAAAAGCCTCTAAGAAAAACAATTAAAAACTAAAAAACCACACCCTCCTTTGGATGAAACAGAAACTCGCACACCACTTCTAAATATAAGTCTGCAATCTCCATTCTCATTTGTCTCTCTTACTCTACACGTCTGACAACATTCAAGCGAACTGCAAACAGTTTCTAAAAGGGGGGGGGCACCACAAATGACACCTCAAGCCATCAGGGTTTTGTTGAACAAAGAGAAGCATGTGGGGCTAAGTAACGATCCTCCCTTCATGTGTTTTTACCCCTCACGTACATCCTGAGTGATGCTAAGAGCACTAATATCAGAGAAATGGATGCAATATGAAAAATTACCATCTTGAAATACCAACAGAGAACTTTATCAATCCGGACACAAACAGACCACCTTCATCTTGACTCCTTTGCTCCGCTTCCTCTTGTAACCAACCACTAAATATAACTTGGCAGCGAACCAGCCACCAATCCATATATTATATCAGATAATTAAAAATACAGGGTTATGTAATCTTATTTAATGGTTACTTGGCTTGGATTGAAAGCAGTACCAGAGAGCTGGATGAAATTATAATGCATAAGACATTTCTAAAGATGTTTTTTAGTAAGAGTCAGCACATCCCCTACTAGCAAATATAATACAAAACATGGAACACTACTTTCATCTCCAGTTAACCTCCCTGGCAAGAAACAGACAATGTCAATTCCTTCCAGGGGCTCGGGAAGTGGGGAGAGACATACCAAAGCCTATCTTCTTTGATTTGATTTTAACATCAAGTAAACATCACCCATTACATTTGGTAGAGAAACAACAGTGCTCAGTATTTACAGGGTAGGGGGAAGGAGAGCCAGTTAGCCTAAGAAAATAAAAGTCAGCAACTAATGCTCACTGTGACACGCAAGCCTGGAAAAGGTATAAAAGCTGACTTCCATTAGCACAGGAGCGTAGATCTTGAGGCCATCCCAGCTCAAGTTCTTACTTACAGATTATTAGAAAAAAATAATTCAGCGAGGAGGCTGATCAATGTTTACAACTACTGAATTTTTTAAAAATGGCAACATCTCATTTATAAACGGTTTCATTATCATAATGTGTTGATTACTAAAGTAATAAACTGGTCACAGGAGGGATTTAATTCAAAGTGCCTCTTGGCCGGAGCATTAAAATCCTGTAAGATAGATAAACCTACTATACATGTTTGTTTCTTCAAACAGACCACTAGGTAAGTATCGAAAGAAACTTTTTTTATAAAAATCAAGGTAAGTCCACCAGAAAAGAGCATATTGATTACATTGATCTCTACAGGGTTTTAAATTAGCGTGTGTTGTATTCTATCTTTGCAGGAAGGCACAAATAGCAAGAACAATGGCCTTAAGAGACAGGAGACCTGAGTTCAAATTACATCTCAGCTGCCCACAAGCTTGCATAGTTGGGTTCCGCAGCCGCCTCCCCAGAAAAACAGAGATGTCAACGTCAGCCTCACAAGAGTCCAAGTGTGAGAAAGGAACTGAACGGCATCAGCATGTACCTTAAAGAGCCTTGGAAACTTCAACACGCTATGCAAACATAAGGTATCGGGTTCAGTGCTGACCGTCGTCACGGTACAAGTTGGTGCCGGAAGCCTAATTCCAGCATCGAGATTCAGAATAAACTCTGAAAAGAAATAGTTTCTTTCAGAGGCAAACAGTCAATAAAATCGCTAAATATGAATAAAAATGCTTTTCTATAGCCAATAACAAGATGGTTATCAGATTCAAAATCAAAGTTTTCTAATAACCATTCAAATTCAGATGTAAGACACTATTTTAGAGGTGCACTTGTAATTCTGAAGTTACATAATTGAGCATAATTAATACTTTAAATAATAAGGCTTTGCATTCTGGATATCAGCTTATGATTTAAGAGGAAAACATTTTCGTCTCAAGTAATCTAAATTAACAGTAATAACAGCATCTTGAGTATCACCTTTTCCTTCCTTCACGTAACTGTTCGCTGTGAGAAATGTACTCCTTACACAAATTACTTTTTGTATGGAAAAGTAAGGTGATCGGGTTTAACATCTACAAAAATACTAAACGGGAACACTGTCCAGTATCTATTTCAAGTAACCAGAAGCCACTGACACTAGTAAAAACACAAAACACCAAAAGAATTTTGAATGTACGGTTTTAGCAACACAGTACTATGGCAACATGGCACGGAGGTAAAAAAAAAAAAAAAAAAAATTCTGACTTTCAAAATAAGATAACTCATTACACTTGTACTTCAGCTGTTTCCTTAATTGAGCACCACATAACTTTGATTCGGCTTCTTTCTTAAGAAAAATGCACTTGACTCCACAGTGCAGACTATTTCTAATGCCACTGATCTCACACAAGGTACAGAGAAATTTCTTTCACAGAAATGACAGCCCAGCAGGCAACAAAAGATATATGTAAATCATAAAGGAAGGAGTGCAAACCTAACTGCAGAACTGTTCAGAAGAGCCTCGGAGTAAGCTTAAAATTCCTTTTCCCTAATTTAAGAATGTAAGCCCATTACTTTTTCACAAGCCCGTTTTACTAAAGAAATAAAAAATAAGCCTGCAATTAAAATAAAATGGGAGAGCTCCGTAAACCGATTTCTCTTCCACAATTCAGACAGCATGCGTGCTTACATTCTTGGAGACACGGAGTCTCCCCACTAACAACACACCCTACTCTGTCTGCAGAACCGGCTGAAACAGGCAAATGCTGGAGGCTGCTGTTCAAAAATACAGATATCGATATACAAATAGAATATGTCTGCCTCTTCTTTCACTTCCAACAATAAAAGAGCCAGGGCCAGCATTAAGATCAGCAGACCCGATTTAACTCGGAAACCACAAACTGTCACTGCACGGAGTGATTCCTGCAAAAGGTAACAGATCTGACCAGGTAATGTTTCTGCCATCACCCAGAGAAGCAGCACACCAGTAGCCCCCAAGCCCATCTTCATCTGAAACATGGGTAACAGATACAGAAGGACCCGAGGACTGCTCCCGGGAAGGAAGGCTCCATTTACCGTCCATCCCAGATCACTCAGGAAGCTCAAGGAAGAACAAGCCAGGAAATCCTGTCCTGGGTAGGCGCGCCTCCATATGCCCCTGGATCCCGGTGCCCTCTGCTTCCCAGGGCTGTTCACACCCTGGACTGGCGGAAGCAGCGCTAAAACGGCATAGGCAGCAAAGACTCCTCGTCCGGTCTTCTGAACTCCTAACCAGCCTCCAGTGAGGGT